CCATCCTCATTTTTACGAATCACAAAAACCTTTCCTACCTTAGTGAAGCCAAAAGATTGTCTTCTAGGCAGGCCAGGTGGTCACTGTTTTTATCTCATTTCAATTATATCATCACCTACAGACCAGGTGATCGTAACACTAAAGCCGACGCTGTGTCCAGTCAATTCGAAACTACCAACAAACAAGAGTTTGATGATACCCCTGTCATTCCCCCGGACAGAATAATAGCTACTACGGTTCTATCTATTTCTTCTTCACTCTTGCAAGTTATACAGGCTAAACAAAACATGGCACCTAGAGAAAGACCTGCTGATAAACTGTTTGTTGATGTTCCCGAAAGACGGGACAGTATGTCATTATATCATGACACCAAAACTGCTGGACATCCTGGTATTTCTAAAACCTTATCAGCAGTTTCTAGATATTTTTGGTGGCCTTCCTTACGCAAGGATATCACCGATTACGTACAGGCATGTACTACTTGTGCCAGTATGAAGTCTTCTCATAGAGTTCCTTGTGGGTTTTGCACCCGTTGCCCATACCCGAGAGGCCTTGGTCCAATCTATCCATGGATTTCATTGTTGAATTGCCTCCTTCAAATGGTAAAACAGTCATCCTAATGATAGTGGATCGGTTTTCTAAGATGGCTCATTTTGTGTCTCTTGTCAGATTGCCCTCATCCAAGGAACTTGCTTCTATCTTTGCCAGGGAGGTGTTTCGGTTGCATTGTATTCCTGTATCGATTGTATCCGAGAGGGGTAGACAATTTATTTCCAGATTCTGGAAAGCCTTTTGTTCAGAGATGGGTATTTCCCTCTCGTTTTCCTCCGCTTACCACCCCCAGTCTAATGGAGCTGCTGAACGTGCCAACCAATCCCTAGAGCAGTATCTTCGTTGTTTCGTATCCCACCATCAGAACAATTCGGCTCACCTTCTTCCTTGGGCTGAGTTTGCACGTAATAACGCTGCTCATGAATCTTTTGGTAAAAGCCCTTTCTACGTTGTTTATGGCCGGCATCCTGTTGTTCTTCCAGCTGCATTCTCGTTTACGTACTACTTGGAAGCAGGTTCAGCGTTCTTTGGTGGACTCCGCTGCTCGCCAAAAGGTTCAAGCTGACAAGCATCGCAGGGCAGCTCCATCCTATGTCGTGGGGGATAGGGTTTGGCTTTCCACTCACAATTTCCGCCTTCGTGTGCCTTCTATGAAGTTGGCTCCTCGTTTTATCGGTCCTTTTCGTATCTTACATAAAGTTAATCCTGTTTCATATGCCTTGGATCTTCCTAGGAACCTACGTATTCCTAACGTCTTTCACACCTCCTTGTTGAAACCCCTCCTGTGTAACCGTTATACCCGGCATGTTCCTCCTCCCCCTCCTGTTTCTGTGGAGGGTCATGAAGAGTTCGAAGTAGCTGCTGTGCTTGACTCTCGTTTTCTCAGGGGTCGCCTCCAGTACCTGGTGCATTGGAAGGGCTATGGGCCTGAGGAACGCAGTTGGATTTCCGCTGACGCTGTTCACGCTCCTCGCCTTGTGCGTTCCTTCCATTCTCGTTTTCCTGCCAGGCCTGGTCCTCCCCGCCCGGTGGGTGTGTCTTCGGGGGGGGGTACTGTAGCGGTACTTACCTTATCCGGGGGCCGGCCGTGGTCACAAACACTGGCCAAAGTTAGTGTTAAACCCTTATAGAACGCCCAAACCGTCCGGCGATCACGGTATGGGGACTTACCTGGGAGCCCAGGGAGTCCCTGTAGTGGTACTTACCTTATCCCGGGGCCGGCCAAGGTCCTCAGTTCCCGCCGCGTGCGGCTCGCTCGGGGCTCGGATGACGGCGGTCACTGACCGCGGGATGCGGTCACGTGTCCCGCCTAGCTCCAAGAGCGCGCCACGCGTCTCGGGCACGCTCTTAAAGGGGAAGTGGGAGCCGAAAACTAAAACGGTCTCCCATTGCCCCTGTCATCCCACATTCCCCATACACTCACATTTTGGGGGCGTGGATATGACAGGGGCCAATCAAATTAAATATTAAGGTATTTATACTTACCTCCCTTAACTCCCTGCCCTATCGTGGTTTCTAAGGTGTTTTTCTTTTCTTTTTATAAACACCTTAGACACACCCAGGTAATCCCTAAACCCTGGACTGGTAGGGGGTCCTGAGGACTAACGTTGAGAACCCCTGCTTTAGCACTTGTTTTGTTCAGTTGTACATACTTGACCTTGGCTTTGTATCTGACTCTGTTTATCTCTTTATCCCTGTTTTGTCTTATTTGCCGGCTTACTGATTACTGTGTACCAGACCTTGGTTAGTTCTTGCTTTCGCTGTCTCTTTGTACCCTTGACCTCGGATCGTTCCTGACTCTGTATTTCTCTGCTCTACGTCGAGTCCGGCCATTCTAAGGTCCGGTAAGACGTATCTGCTCTATATTGTCAATTGTTGGACTAAATCTTGCGAGTTGGGGTAAACTACCGTGACAGTCCCCCTCCGTCCTCTTCGGCCCCCCTGGGCCATGTGATCGCGAGGTCCTTGCAAGGACCTTGCGATCACATGGACGGAATAGCCGTCCATATCAGTGCCAGCATGGGGAGTGCCTGTAATGACAGGTACTCCCCCTGCTGTCTGAAAATAAAATAATTAAATGTTAAAACAGTGTAAAAATAAATAATATATACTTAGATCATATATATATTTATTGTATATACACACATAAAAACACATACACTGTCTACGTGTATTTTAATACTAATATATATATATTAATATCAAAATACACGTACAATGATATTGATTAAATATATATATAATTTTCATTATATTTATATATAATATAAAATAAATAAATCTAAATACGTAAAAAAATTAAATTAAAATAAAAAAAATATATGTGTAATTTCGTTCTAACTGTATTTTAAAATTTATATATATATATATATATATATATATATATATATATATATATATATATATCTCAAAATACATGTAGAACGAAAAAATATATATATCTATATACATAAGTATATACGTATTTATCACTATATACCTATATATAAATAAAAATCATTTAAAAAAAAATTATATACACATATATATATATATATATATATATTTATATACACACATTTGTGTTCGGGGCAAATAGCCGTATATGGAATAAGGTTCCAGCATAAGCGTAGGATAGTATAAAGGGAGCAAGTCGGTTGTGGTGTGCCGAGACCGACGATACGGTAGGCCTGTAAATAAAGAGGGCCCACCAAGGAGTAAGTAAAGTAAATGGAAAGAAAAAAGAGAAAGTGTTGAAATGAGGAGTGGGTGGGAGGGTCATTCTGATGCTGACCTCAAGCGATATGAGTCAGGTAAGGGGTGTCCCTTATATAGGGGAGTGAATTAATTTAAGCCCCTCCCACAAATACAGGCCAAATGGCCTTAATACTTGTGTAAGGGGCAAATAGCCGTATATGGAGTAAGGATCCAGCATAAGCGTAGGATAGTATAAAAGGGAGCAAGTCGGTTGTGGTGTGCCGAGACCGACGATACGGTAGGCCTGTAAATAAAGAGGGCAAAAAGAATAATCAAAGATTTAATACAGTCAACAATATATACAAATTAACCAGACATTTCCTTAAATGCATTACGGTATTTAATTCCTTGAAGGATTTTTGAAGGTAGGAATCTAGGACCGCAACTGTACACCATTTGTTGTGTGTAGGATAGTATGTTATCTCTACTGTTGGTGCGTGTTGACTCGTTTCAGAATGTGGTAGAGCGAATAGGTAATGATATATGTGTTTACATACGTGGGATCGTTGAAGACAATGATCTGTCTGAGTGGTGGTTATGGTAGTGGATTCTCTGGCCTGAGAAAGGCATAAAAGGCAGTGTGCATGGCTGGTAATGTCCAACTTGGTAGTATAATTGAATGGTTGTAGCTCTAATAGGTCCGATAAGGATGGAAAAGTTGGATGGCTATTGGTAATATCTGAGAGGAACGTGGGGGATGGATTCCTGAAAACCTCTGAGTATATTCTTGTCTGGTATGATAGCATGAAGTTATGGTAGTTTGGCCATAGGTTATCCTGTGTTGTTGAATGCCTGTAAAATATATAATTAATGGTGTGTGAGATGGTTTTAGTTTAAGGTGGCAAAAAATGAAGCAAAACCTAGGAGAAATGTTATGACACAGGTTGAGCTCTGTCGTGTTCCAATGAGATTCTTTAAAGCCAGGTGAATAGGTGTTATGCGTTCTACAAGTATGGGATGAAAGTGTTAGGTGGGATAGTGCATGCTATGCTGCATGAGTATGTCTAATCCATGATTTTGTCTCTGGAACGAAAGAGTGGACGTGACTGTATGGGCGGCTGTAGGAAGCGTATGATGAACATGCCTGGAATATAAATGAGACAATTGTCGGCAGGGATGTATACCCCCGCCTGGTACATGAAAGTAAAAGAAATGTGATAAGTGGCCAACCAAGTGAGTTCCCCAGCAATACCATGATCGTATGGATGATGAGTGGTATTTGTTGATGATATGACATGTGCTTAGTTGTCTGAGTAACAACGGATTGATGACCCTGACCATGATTTACCCCATGCCACAGCAGCTGCTTTTAGCGGGGAAAGGATTGCCCATTTTATGCCATGTAAGTGCCAGTTTGTAGGGTAGATGGTAGCCGTTTACTGTGTTGATGATATTGGTCTTACTTAACGAAGCTTCAACCCACGCTTGAGTGATAGCTGTAAAGTTAGATCAATGGTGTGTATAGTAAGGAAACTCCTCGGAGTGTATGAGGGAGTTGAGACTTGGGGTAGCGAAGGTGTGTGGTGCCAATAAGTCTATGGTTAGTCTTTGTTTAAGGGAAGATTCCCTTGTGACAATACCAATGCGTTTGTGTTTGGTGCCATGCTGTAAATGGTGGAGATTGGAAACCCAAGTAAAAACCCCTCTGCAAATCTTGGCTATGAGTGTGTTTACAGCCGACGGTTCTGTTGTGCTGACTAAGTGAGGGCATGCTATATTCCTTGAGAGTTTATTTATGATGATACCTGTATGGGAGCCCTTTGAAGCTCCAGAGCCTGAGTAAATCTACTACAAGTCTGGAAGGGTGATGAGTCAGTAGTGTTGAAAATGCATTGGTGTGTACGTTATTTGTAAGTTGTATTGGGACACATGGTTTGTCATGTGCCCTGAATGATTTGAACACATATGCAACAGTCTATATGCAATGCAACTACTAATACCAATTGTCTCTGGTAGTTCAGAGGTGCTGGTACCTGGAGCCTGAGAGTACTTGCTCGTTTGTTTGGGAGAAAATCCCTTTTGTATGGGTACCTGCACAAATAAGCATCTCTACATATTCCAAATGCCAACACAACCAAGGGATGGTCAGTTCCCGTTTTACCTAGAATCCCTGGGTCTGACCATCATAGATACATCATCATACATATATATGCCTTGTGTTCCCAATGTGCCGGGATCATATGTGCAGGGTTAACATCTTGTACCAAGTAACCGAGTTTTGGTTGGTGCTGGTTGTACAGTAGCGTGAGGCCCAGCCTTGTGAGGGCTGTGACTGACTCGAGATTGCCAGTCTGTCGTAAATTTTTTGGCTCATGATTTTATGAGTGAGGCTAGCATGGCCTGGGTGTCACCTGAGTTGGTGTTGCTGGGCCTCCGTTGATGTATGGAGGAGTTTGAATAACTCTGCTTTCCTTGCTGTGGCAGGGTAGGGGATTTGTCGCCTCCTTAGGTCGGAGCCACATCTCCTCTGCTTGAAGGTGTATTACTTCTAGCCAGGGTGCCAGGAAGTGAAGTTCTTCACCATCTTTTTGAGAAATACTTAAATAACAATAAAGATTGCAATTATTATTTGTACCCAGGGGTCTTGTACTGGCTTGCTAGCTAAGCCGTAAGGCAAAACGATTAGGCTTGGTTTTTTTTGGTGACTGGTGAGGCTCTATCTATGCTTGGCGCGAGGGGATTTTTTGTGGCCACCGAACGTTGTGGCAGGATGTTGGCCTCTCGGTGACAGTAACCAGAAAATAGGAAGGGGAGTGACAGGTGAGGCCCTCTCTATGATACAATGCGAGGCGGCTAGCTCACGAGTGGCCCGAGGGGTGTATGCCTCCGAGTGTAAGGCAGGGTGTTGGCCTCGCGGGACCACTAACCGAAGCGTAAAGCAGAGAAAACAGTGGGTAATACCTATTGGGCCATAGAACCCTAATTGCCAGTACATTACTACTATTCCAGGGAAGGTAAGAGATGAAGGTGTATCACTTCTAGCCGTGGTGCTAGGAAGAGGTGATTTTTTACCATCTTTTTGAGAAATACTTAAATAACAATAAAGATTGCAATTATATATTTGTACCCAGGGGTCTTGTACCGGCTGGCTAGCTAAGCCGTAAGGCCTCGCGGGACCACTAACCGAAGCATAATGCAGAGAAAAAAGGGGTAATACCTATTGGGCCCTAGAACCCTAATTGCCAGTACACTATTACTATTCCAGGGAAGGTAAGAGATGGATAACTACGTGAGCAGGTGTATGTACCTGGTAGTATGGTATTGAACCTGACAATCCGTATAGGTTTTTTAGTAGTAACTGTAACCTGAATGGATAAAATCGTATGGCATAAGGAAATATGGCATAGTCCAAGCTTATCTTAAAACATACAGTATATGTGAAAGTAAAGTGCCGTGATATGTAAATATTAAACATCATATCCATACTGGTTAAATATGTATCAATCTTAACCCATTAAGTGCCGTATGTATGTGAACCATATTACCAGTTACCTATATACAGATGCGTGTGCTACTGTGTAATAATATGTGTATTTATAACAGATATTGATATACTGCTTGCTATGTGAATTGTTGTATGCCTTATTGAATGGCAAGTGAACATTGAGTTGCAAAATGCAAGTGCACTGGAGATCTGCTGAGTGCCCTATAGGTGGCAGTGTAGTTGATACTGATTGGTATGTGAAATGTTGTTTGTCTGTTGACCTATAGGGGTCAGTGTTTTGGTGTTTGTAAACCCCCATGAAAAACCCCATGAAAATTGTCAATGTACTTGACAGACCTGTAGGTGGCAGTGTTGATAGAACCACTGTTAGTCTTAATGTGAAATGTAAACTATTGTGAATTAAACCTGAAGTTGAGCCCGTGCTGGAGTTTAATTTATGGTCTATAGTTATGTTTAAAACAATCTTGTGTGTAATTTATATTGGCTGGTAATTGTATATGACATGTGAAGACAGTTTTGCTGTTGACCAGTAGGGGACAGAAATGCTGATTGTATGGTAAAATACCCTTTAACCCCTGAAGGATACATGACGTGTGACATATCATGATTCCCTTTTATTCCAGAGTTTGGTCCTTAAGGGGTTAATCCAAATGCAAGGTTAACGTGAGATTTTGAGAGTGACCTGTAGGGCTCAGTGTGGTTTATGTGAAACATTGTTTGTGAGCTATGCCCCAGCATTATAGTTG